CTGTTGCTGCTGCAGTTCTCGACGAAGCAGATAAGCTGCTGGAGGCTGGCTGGGGGCCCCAGCTGCAGCTGCTGTGGGGGGCCCTAGCAGCAAAGCAGCAGGGGGTTTTTGTAGCTGCTTCGCTCCCATCCTCTCTTTTAGAGTTTATTTCTTTTGGACTTCAAAACCCTCTTTTCGTCCAAGTCCACAAACCCTCGCAGCTCAACCAAACCCTTTTCCTCCGCTTCCTCTTCGCCTCCCAAACCCTCAAAGTCCCAGCCCTCCTCTACCTCCTCCAAGCCCTCCAAGCCGTAAACCCTAAACCCTAAACCCTAAACCCTAAGCCCTAAGCCCCCGAATGCCCTGCTGCTGCTGCGCCCGTCCACGCCGCAGCTGCTGCGGCTGCTCGATGCGCCAGGGTTTGCGCCCACTCATTGCCCAGGGTTTAGGGTTTAGGGTTTAGGGTTTAGGGTTTAGGGTTTGCGTTTCAGGGGGAGCAGCAGGCGCTGGTGTTTGTAAACACTCGCCACCAGGCGGAGTTTTTGAAATTAGTTATTTTCAAAACCCTCAAAATAAACCCTTTGATTATTTACGGCTCGATGGAGCAAAGAGACAGAACCGCCAACCTCGCCGCCTTCCGAAAACGTAAACCCTAAACCCTAAACCCTAAACCCTACACCGTAGGCAGGGGCGCGGCGGGCGCGGGTGGCTGGCGGGCGAGGGTTTAGGGTTTAGGGGTTGTGCGTGTTCGAGGGTTTGCAGGCCGGTCTTTGTTTTTAATTGTCACCGATGTGGCAGCAAGAGGAATTGATATTTCTGAACTTCCTTTTGTAATTAATTTCGACTTTCCAGCTTCTGCTCGGGTGTACGTACACCGCGCGGGCCGCACCGCGCGCGCCGGGAGGTGCGCATACACCCCAGCGCCCGCCGCGTTCTTCCGCTCATTTCGCGTTTGTGTTCGTTCATTTTCATTTGTTTATTATTTATTTATTATTTATTTATTATTTATTTATTGTTTGTTTATTATTTAGTTTTTATTTTGTCATTTATTTCCCATTTATTGTTCATTTTTTTGTCTATTTTTGCGCTTTCCAGAGAGGGCTGCGTCATCTCCATCACCACCCCCGAGGACTTGCCCTTCGCCTTCGACATAATGGCTTTCGTGGGCGGGAGAATTGTCCCTTTGGCCCAGTGCATGCAGCAGCAGCAGCAGCAGCAGCAGCAGGTGCGGGAGGAGGCGCAGGAGGGAGAGGCGCAGGAGGCCTCAGCAGCTGCGGCGCACGGCAGCGCTGCAGCAGCAGCAGCAGCAACAGATGCTGATGCAGACGCTGAAGCAGCAGCAGCAGGTGCTGATGCAGACGCTGAAGCAGCAGCAGCACCGGCAACAGCGGAAGCAGCGTCGCCAGCAGCAGCAGCAGGTGCTGCTGCTGCTGCAGCAGCAGCAGACGACGACAGAGAAGGAGCGGCAACAGAGGCAGATAATACAGCAGCAGCAGCAGCAGCAGCAGCAGAACTGGGTCGCGTGTCTACAGGAATTTATCCCTTAGGAGCTGCTGCTGATTTGGACTTGTTTCAAGAAGCTGTGTCTTCTTGTCTGCAGCAAGACCTGGAGGCGCAGTCGCTGCAGCGGTCAGCAGCAGCAGCAGAAAAGCTTTATTACAAAACAAGAGCAGCAGCAAGCAAGCAAGGCTGTCAAAGGGCGAAGCAGCTGCTGCAGGAGGTGGGGGGTCTTTTGCTGCTGTCGGCGACGCCCTTCACGGAGCAGCAGCTGCTGCCGTTGCTGCAGCGGAAGCAGCAGCAGCAGCAGCTGGCGCTGCAGCAGCAGCTGCAGCGCCTGCCCCCCGCCCAGCAGCAAACGCTGCAGCAGCTGCTTCAGAAGCAGCAGCAGCAGCAGCAAGGGGTGGATGTGCAGCTGCTGCAAACCATGAGGCGCTTTAGACCCAGAGTGGGGGTCCAAGGCAGCGTTTTGAGTGCAGCAGCAGTAGAAGCCATCAGCAGCAGACAGAAAGAAAGAGCAGCTGTTGCTGCTGCTGCTGCAGCAGAGGAAAGGAGACACAGGAGAGCCATCGAAGACTCTGACGCTGACGACTCAGACGAGGAGCTGCTGCAGCAGCAGCAGCAGGGAGACGCTGGAGACGGCAGCAGCAGCAGCAGCAGCGGGCTCGACGAAGCGCAGCAGCAGCAGCAGCAGCAGGGCGCTGGCGGGTGCAACGCTCTGCATGCGCTGGAAGCAGCAGCAGCAGCAGCAACAGCAAAGCGCCGGCGAGTCAGCAAAAGGAGACTACAGAAAGTGGCGAAGGAGATGGGCGTGGACCCCAGAGCAGCAGCAGCAACTGCAGCAGCAGCAGCAGCAGCAGCAGCAGCAGCAGCAGACAGCAGCAGCAAAAGTGAGAACGTCTTCGTTGATGTGTCTCCAGAAGCAAAAGCAGAAGGAGAACATGTGATGCTGCAGCTGCAGCACCAGCAGCACACAACATATGCAGATGAAGAAGCAGACTTGAGGCGGGCCAAATACCAGGAAAAAAGAAAGTAAGCAGCAGCAGCAGCAGCAACAGCAGCAGCAGCAGCAGCAGCAGTAGCAGAAGCAGCAGCGGCCTTCGCTGGACTTTGTGGTGTATGTATGTACTGCTGGGGAAGTAAGTGGAAATGAAAAAAAGTTGAATTAAAATCCAAAATTTAATTTTCTAATTTTCATCAAATTTGAATCTCGAAATGAAGAAAATGCAATTATAAATGCATGCAAGTGCAGATAGGGAAACAAATGAAAATTGAAATGCAGCAAAAATGGAAAAGTTGAAATTTGTGAAACATTTGCATTTATGGACTTCTTTTTTGAATTTTTCGGGGAATGGACTTTAATTCATTCCAAAAATGCAAAACTTTGGGAATTAAAAGGCAAATAAATGCAGAAAATGGAAAAGTTCGGAGATTTGATTTCCACTTCGCATTTGAAACGGAAAAAGACTTCAGGTGTACGTACACCCCGGCGCGTACTTCAGGTGTACGTACACCCCAGATCTGCATGCAGGTGTACGTACACCCGAACTTTGCATGCAGGTGGGACCCGAAGAAAAGAAAATATGTTTTAATGCGAATTGACAGTGCTTCTGGATTGGCAGTAAAAAGGCAAAAAAAAGGAGAAAAAGAAGAAAGAAAAATGCAAGTTTCAAACCTTATTTTTTCTTTTTTTTCTTTTTTCTCCTTTTTGGAGTCTTTTTGTTTCCTTTTTAATCTGCGTTTTTTGTCCTTTTTGTCTCCTTTTTTTCTCCATTTTATCCCCCTTTTCTGTCTCTTTCTGTCTCTCTTTTTTTGTTTCTTTTTGTCTCTTTCTATTTCCTTTTTCATCTCCTCTTTTGTCTCTTTTTTTGTTCTTCTTTTGTCTCCCTCTTGTCTCTTTTTTGTCTCTTTTAATTCCTTTTAATTTCTTTTAATTTTTTTTAATTTCTTCAAATTGCTTTTAATTTCTTTTTACTTTTTATTCTGTTTCTCTTTATTTCGTTTTTCTCTCCCCATTGCATTCTTTGCTTAGCCGCACTTCAGCGCCTCCCCCAAACCCCAAACCCTAAACCCTAAACCCTAAACCCTCGATTTGCGTGTTTTGGGGCCTCAGCAGCTGCGCCTTTCGCTACGCCCAGTGGTGCAAAAGGACAAAACAAAGAATTCAAAAAGTGGGGGAAATGGAAAACCCTAATCTCAACCCCCCGGAGCGCAGCCGCAGCCGCGCCAGCCGAACAGGTCAGCAGGGTTTAGGGTTTAGGGTTTAGGGTTTAGGGTTTGGGGGTTAGGGTTTAGGGTTTGGAGGGCTGGTGGTATTCGGAGGACGCACACAAGGGCCATTGGAGGCCTCAGAGAAGGCGTCGCGTCGAGGGTTTGAAAACTAGGACTTAGGGTTTAGGGTTTAGGGTTTAGGGTTTGTTGGTGTTCAGAAGAGCCTCCAGATACTGATGAATCTCCCAGCAACAAAATTCGCTTCTTGCCGCTGCATTCCAAACATCTAGGTAAGGGTTTAGGGTTTAGGGTCTAGGGTTTAGGGTTTAGGGTTTCAGCAGCATCTTTAGAGGCCCCGGGCTATTCGTCCACCGAGGCGTGACTGCTGTGCTGCTGCTGCTGCGTTGCTGCTGCTGCTTTGCGGCTGCTGCTGCTGCTGCTGTTTCAGCGGGGTTTCTGTCCACCTGAGCTGGCTTTGTTTTTTTTCTATCTTCATTCCGTTTAGTTATTAATTCCTCATTCATCATTATTTATTTATTTATTTATTATTTATTTATTATTTGTTATTTATTTATTTATTTACGTGTTTATTTATTTATTTATTTAGGCATTAAAGAGGCGCTGCAGAAGGGGGCCCCGCTAACTCACAAGCAGACTCGAATTGCAAAGAAATTAATCCAAAAAGAAATAAATTTAAATTCAAAAATGAATTTGCAAAAAGGCAAAAAGAACAACCCTGAAGTGTACGGACAGCTCAAGACTGTGCAGCAGGTAAAAACGAAAAAGCGCATTTTTGTCTTTTTTTTGTCTTTTTCTTTTTTCTCTTTTTACTTCTTGTGCGTTTATCTTTCCTTTGGTTCTTTATTTCATTGTTTTTCTTTATTTTTGTTTCCTCTTTTGTTTATTTTAATCTCCTTTTTGTTTATTTTTTCATTTTTTCTTTTGTTCCATTTTAGAGCAGCGCGTGCTGCTGCTTGCGACTCTGTTTTAATTCCTTTTTTTGCTTTTTAAACTCTTTCAACTTGTTTTTGTTTTGATTTTTTAATTCTTTTAATTCCTTTTTTAATTTACTTCCATTTAGCAGCTCTTTTGCATGCAGATTGCAAAAGGCCGAAAACGCGAAGAGCAGCGGCGGCTGAAAAACGCCCCCAAAGGCAAAAAAGGAGCAGCAGCAACAGCAGCAGCAGCAGCAGCAAAAAGCAAATGGATGAAGAAGCAAGCATTCAAAATCGCGAAGAAAGGAGCCCCCAATAGATCGTTTGCAATCAAAAGAGTGAAGAAGCGCAAAACGAGGGTTTAGGGTTTAGGGTTTAGGGTTTGGGGGCGGGTGGCTGCGAACCCGCAAACAAGGGTTTTGCTGATGGGCGCATGCATTTGCACTTTCTCAGATATTCATAAATGCACTTTAATGCATTTTTAGTTTGCAAAATATATTTTTGTCAGTAAATTCTTCAAGAGAGACACAAGTCTATTTGCACAATATGTTGGGGTGTACGTACACCCGGAGCTGTCCAAGACAAAACCCGAAATTACTTCGAAGTGAAAACTTGGTTTTAAACAATTCGCTGGGACTCTCGAGTTCTGCTTTCTAGGGTTTAGGGTTTAGGGTTTGGGGCGGGCTGGGCGAGGCGAGAAGGGTTCGCCTTTAGTATTTCAGCTGGCCTGCTGAGGTGTACATACACCCGAGCAGCGAGAAGCAGTTTTTTTCGAGCTGCTTTTAAAGTTCTTCAAAGTGGAATCGAAAGGAGCGTAGAGGGGCTCGAAGAGACGCAAATAAGTCGCTCTTCGAGCCCCTCTGCTTTTAAGAGGTGCAGGGGCTGCTAAATAATTTATTTCAATTCTAAAAGGTGAAAAAAATGGCGAAAAACGGGGGAAAAGGGGTGGTGTCCGGGGCGGGCACGTCTAGTGTATGTACACCCCGCGGCAGGTGACCATACACCGGAGGCGGCGCGGAAAGCGAGCGAAAGCAGCGGGAAAAGGGGGGATTTTGTTTCGTTAAATTAGATTTTGGGGTTTAAAAGGGTTTATTTTGCGGATTTAGAGGTGAAAAGTGTAAAATGGGTTAAAAAGAAAGGCGGTTTCTCGGTGCGGGTGGCGGCGGGTGTACGGACACCGCGCGTGGGGCGCCGTCAGGGCATAATTTTGGCGGCTATTTTTCGCCTTTGTGTGCTTTGGCATAAATAATAAATGCATTTAAGATAGCTGGATTGCGAAAGGCGAGAAAAGGAAGTCCGGGGGGTGTGGCGAGGTGTAATGCAGCAAGTCCCCTAGGTGCCGCGGCAGCATGCTGCTGCTGCTGCTGCTGCAGGGGGGGAGTTTGGGCGTTTCTCTCCGCGAGGAAGTTTAATTTGGAGAAGAATTGAATTTAAATTGTCTTTATTTTGTTCTTTAGACTTTTTGAAACCCCAAAGGACAAACAAACTGCCCTGCGTGGTGCTGCGGGGCTGTGTGGCTGCGAGGGCGTCCGCAGGCTGGGGTGTATGTACACTTGAGTCTTCGGCTGCTGCTGCTGCTACCCAAAAACCAGCTTTAGTTTCTTTCTGGGCAGCTGCTGCCTCTCCCGCGCCTCGCGAAGGCTGCCGCCGCTGCTGCTGCTGCTGCCCGCCGCCGCCGCTGCTGCTGCTGCTGCTGCTGCTGCTGCTATGCTGCAAGACCAGCAGTCCCCCGCTGCCCTCCACCCAAGGGCCCCCAAAACAATGGACCCCCAGCCTCCGGGGGCCCCCGGCCGCGTGCTGCTGGCTTCTGTCTCCAACATCAAGTACCCTGTGGACTTGGATTTAATTCACCACCTCTTTTCCAGATTCGGAGAAGTCGAGAAGGTGAGCTGCAGCAGCAGCAGCAGCAGCAGCAGCAGCAGTGGGAGGGGCAGAGGCAGGGGTAGGGGTAGAAGCGGAGGAGCCAGGGTCGCCGGGGAGCAGAAGCAGCTGCTGCTGCTGCTGCAGCAGTTGCTGCAGCAGCAGCAGCAGGTGCTGCTGCTGCTGCTGCTGCTGTGGGTGTAGGGGGTAGCGGGAGACGAGGGTTTGGGGTTTGTGAGGGCTTAGGGTTTGCCGGGGGTGTGTGGAGCTGGGGCAGAGGCGCGTCGAGCGAGGGTTTGCTGAGGGTTTAGGGTTTAGGGTTTAGGGTTTAGGGGTGCCTAGAGTGGCCCACTAGTCCCCACTCCCTGACCAGAACGCGGAACGCCTTCAGCAACGCTTCCAAGCAAGCAGCACCCCTTCTAGGGTTTAGGGTTTAGGGTTTAGGGTTTAGGGTTTAGGGTTTAGGGTTTAGGGTTTAGGGTTTAGGGTTTGCAAGCTCCCGAAAGGACTTTGACACCCAAGCGTGCAGCGAAAAGGCGCGTCGGGCGGCGGCTGCGCGCAGCGCGCTGCCCAGGGCCCAGGGTTCAGGGTTTAGGGTTTAGGGTTTAGGGTTTAGGGTTTGGGTTTAGGGTTTAGGGTTTAGGGTTTAGGGTTTGCAAGCTCCCCAAAGGACTTTGGCACCCAAGCGTGCAGCCAAAAGGCGCGTCGGGCGGCGGCTGCGCGCAGCGCGCTGCCCAGGACCCCGGGTTCAGGCCTTCCCCCTTAGGGTTTAGGGCCTTGGGCCCCGGTTGGAGGGCTTGGCGCGCAAGTCGAATTCGTTGAGGTTTCTTCAAAATACGCCGAGGTCTGGGGGTACCCAGGCTGCCCCTGGTGCTGCTCAGTTCGCCACCGCGGTCCAGGCCCAGGAGGACCATTCCCCCGTCATCATTGTCTACAACATTCCCGCCTCAGTCAACATCCAGATGGTCTGCTGCTGCTGCTGCTGCTGCTGCTGCCGTGCTGCTGCTGCCGTGCTGCTGCTGCCGTGCTGCTGCTGCCGTGCTGCTGCTGCTGCCGTGCTGCTGCTGCGATGCTGCTGCTGCAATTCTGCTGCTGCAGTGCTGCTGCTGCGATGCTGCTGCTGCAATTCTGCTGCTGCGGTGCTGCTGCTGCAGTGCTGCTGCTGCGGTGCTGCTGTGCTGATGCTGATGGTGCTGCTTGTGGCGCTGCTGCTGCTGCTCTTGGTGCTGTTGCTGCTCCTGCTGCTGCTGACTTTGATGATGCTGCTGCTGATGCTGCTGCATTTGTTTGTTTTGCTGCTGCTCCAGTTTCTCTTTGCCGGTGCTCATGCTGCTGCTGCAGTTTGAACTGAATTTGTTTCCCTTGCTGCTGCTGCTGCTGCTGCTGCAGCTGTTTAACCTGTTCAGCTTATACGGGAGTGTTTTGCGAATTAAAATTTTAAAAGAAAGACCTGACACTGCTTTGATTCAATACGCCCTTCCTTTCTACGCAACCATTGCCCAAAGACTCATGCTCGTGAGGGTTTAGGGTTTAGGGTTTAGGGTTTAGGGTTTTGTTGCTGCTGCGCGTTTGGGGTTTTTGTGGCCCGAGTTCTCGTGAACAACTCACTGCAGAACTAATTATTTATTTGTTTTAATTATTTAACTTATTTAGTTTAATTTATTTTATTATTTAATTTAATTCATTTAATTTAATTAAATTTATCTTACTTATTTTATTTTTGTTTTAGGGGGCAGTTTGCGAAGGCCAGGAGCTGCAGATGACCCTCAGCCGCAACAAGGAAGTGCGGCTGCCGTCAGCAGCAGCAGCAGCAGCAGCAGCAGCAGCAGATTCAACAGCAGCAGAAGACGAAAAACGCACTGTGGCTTTTACCATGAAGGACCAAAGATACGGGGTGAGCTGCTGCAGCTAGCTGCTGCTGCTGCTGCTGCTGCTGCTAACTGTTGCCGTGGGTTGGTGCTGCTGGTTGCTGCTGCTAGCTGCTGCAGCGGGTTGCTGCTGCTGCTGCTGCCGCAGCTAGCTGGCTACAGTGTCAAGTGCAGCTAGCTAGCCAGCTAGCTAGCTAGCTAGTGGGAAACATGCATCTAAGTGGACGCGTGAACGCCTGCTGCCTTTGCTGCTGCTGCTGCTGCTGCTGCTGCTGCAGGCTGAAGACATAGAGAAGTATGTGAAGAGCGCATGCAAGCCGACGCGGACAGTGTTTGTGGCGAACATTAATGAAGCAGCAACAACAGAAGACATAATTGAATTGTTTAAACATCAGGGAAAAGTGAACAAAATAAATTTCAAAAAGCCGAAAAACGAAAACAGCAAAACCAAACTCTGCATCATGGAGCTCGAAAGCGAAGAAAAGGTAAAGTGCTTCCTTTTGTCCCGAAAATATATTCAATTTAATTTAATTTCAATTTAATTTATGTCGTCTCTCCTTTTTATTCTTTTTTCATTTTATTGTTTCCTTTTCCGCTTTTCCTCCATTTTGAATTTTGCGTTCAAACGCGGGGTGTACATGCACCCCACGTGCGTGTTCGCTTTTCAGAATTCCGTTTCTCCACTTTGCCCTTTTATATTCATATTTATATTTATTTTTTGCTGTATTTTCACGTTTTATAATTATGTTTTATATTTGTGTTTCTATTTTATATTTATCTTTGCAAGATACCGCGTTTGCAGCACCTGTACCTACACCCGGTCAGGCTTTTCAGTTTTTGATTTGGAATTTGTTTCGTCATTTCGCAATTCCAGTTTCATTTTAATTTATTCTTTGTTTTATTTTTAATTTTATAATTTCAAATTATATTAATTTGTTTTATTTCAAGTTTTTCAATTTTAAATTTATTTCCACTTTTTGTCTTCAGGCGATTAGCGCCGTCATGCATCTCCACAATTACGATTTCATGGGCAGGTCACTGAAGGTGGCTTTTTCCAAAAGCGTTATTTAGCTGCAGCAGCAGCAGCAGCAGCAGCAGTTACTGCAGCAGCAGCAGCAGTTACTGCAGCAGCAGCAGCAGCAGCAGCAGCAGTTACTGCAGCAGCAGCAGCAGCAACAGCAGCAGCAGCTACTGCAGCGGCAGCAGCAGCAGCTACTGCAGCGGCAGCAGCAGCAGCAGCTACACCCGCAGCAGCGAGCAAAGCGGCTGCAGCAGCAACAGAGTGATGGGGAGGGGCGCTACTGCTGTTGCACAAGCAGCAGCAGCAGCAACTGCAGCAGCAGCAAGAGCGGCTGCTGCGTATATGAATATGCATGCGCACAAGCAAGGAAGTGGATTGGTATTTAGATTGTTGCTTACTAATTTAAATGTAAATAAATAAATAAATTATTTAATTATTTATTTATTTATTTATTCGGTGAGGCTTTTTCTCTGCTAAACAAATTCCTAAATAGCTGCATCGCAAATGTGCCTCCCGAAGCTGCAGGCTCGCGGGTTTAGGGTTTAGGGTTTAGGGTTTGGGGCTGTGGGGCCCCGGAGCGCGAGCTGGAGCGGGCGGGGGGGTAGTTGTGTTTCAAGGGTTTAGGGTTTAGGGTTTAGGGTTTAGGGTGGAAGCAATTTAAATACACAAATTGAAAAGCAATTAATTAGAAGTGTAGACCAAAGAGCAGCAAAAAGACTTTGGAAGACTTTGCTGCTGCTGCTTCTTCTTTATTGTCTGCAAATGCAAACCACAACAACTCCTTTGGGTGGACCACTGGTCACGCGCTGCTGCTGCTGCTGCTGCAGTTGCTGCAGCAGCAGCAGGAGTCGCAGCGGCAGCAGGAGTAGCAGCGGCAGCAGTTTCTGCGGCAGCGCCGGCGCTTGCAGCAGCAGCAGGAGCAGTTGCAGCAGCAGCAGCAGCGTTTCCTGCAGCAGCAACAGCAGCAGCAGTTGTTGCAGCAGCAACTCTTGGAGCAACTTTATCTGCGGTTGCTGCTGTTGCTGCTGCCGCAGCAGCAGCTTGCAGCAGCAGCAAGCGCAGCAGGTGCTGCAGCAGCAATAGCGCACGCTGCAGCAGCAGCAGCGCCAATTGCTGCAGCGACAACTCGTGGAGCGATTTTATCTGCATTTGCTGCTGCTGCAGCAGCTGCTGCAGCAGCAGCAGCAGCAGCAGCAAATTGAGCGTTTCTTTCTTCTTTGGTTTTGCCTCATTTTGATTCAAAATGAACAAAAGAGCTGCAGCTCTAAGTTGCAGTTACAATTAATTGTTTATTTCATTCTTTATTTATTATTTAATTAATTTAAATAATTTAATTTAATTTAATTTGAATAATTTAATTAATTTAAGTTAACCTAATTAATTTAATTCACTTAATTAAATTAACTTTATTTAAATTGCTGCTGTCTTATGAAGCCCTTCGCCGCATATTTTTCTTTTTTCTCTTTTTCTGGATTTCTTCAAACACTTTTAATTTATTTTAAATCCATTTTTAATTTGTTTTAAATTCACTCCTAATTTATTTTAAATTCACTTTTAATTTAGTTTAAATTCATTTTCAATTTATTTCTTTTAATTCATTTTCATTTATTTCCCTGCAAGAAGAAACAAATCGGGCCTTTGCAACTGCTGCTGCTGCTGCTGCTGTTGCTGCTGCTAGTTCTTTGTGGCTGCTGCTGTTGCTGCTGCTAGTTCTTTGTGGCTGCTGCTGCTGTTGTTGTTGGTCCTTCAAGTTCTTTGTCGCTGCTGTTGCTGCTGCTAGTTCACTGTGGCTGCTGCTGTTGCTGCTGCTAGTTCTTTGTGGCTGCTGCAGCTGCTACTGCTAGTTCTTTGTGGCTGCTGCTGCTGCTGCTAGTTCTTTGAGGCTGCTGCTGCTAAGGGCAATTTGGCTGCAAGAATAGTGTCTCCCTTTGTTAATTAAATACTTGACATCCAAAGAGGGAGAGGCTGTGTCCCTTTTTACAAAAAGTGCTGCTGCTGCTGCAGTTGCTGCAGCAGCAGCAGCTCTTGCTGTTGCAGCTGCTGCTGCGGCTGCTGCAACCCTTGCACAGCTGCAGAACAGTTGCTGCTGCTTTTGCAGCTTTTGCTGCTGCTGCAATAGCAGCAGCCGCTGCAGCAGCTGCTGCTGCAGTAGCAGCAGCAGCAGCAGCAGCAGACGCAGCAGCAGCAGCAGCTCTTGCTGCTTGGAGTGTATATACGCTAGCTAAATCGGCTTTCGTGTTTATACACCTGAAGCGGCCATTTGGATTTGTTGGATGTTCATTTGAATTGAATTAATTAGAGAATTAAATTAAATTAATTTAATTTAATTTAATTAAATTTAGTTAAATTTAATTAATTAATTTAATTTAATTTAATTCTCTTCACTTCTTCCCGAGGTCCACAGACAGCCTGGCGCACAAAAGCAGCAGCAATTCCAAAATGTCTTTTTATTAAAAATACCTTAAATTAAAATTAAAATACTTTTAAATTAAAGTTAAAATACTTTTTTTGTAAATAAAAGATATTTAATTAAATTCTAATTTAATTTTGCCTTTAAAGCCCCGAGCTGCACTTTCAGGAGATCTTGACGCAAGCGCAGCAGCAGCAGCAGCAGCTGCTGCTGCTGTTGCTGCTGTTGCTGCTGCTGCTGCTGCTGCTGCTGCTGCTGCACTTGCCTGAGGATCTTCAAGCTGGCGTAGGCTCTGTCTCTGTCTGCTTTTTCTGGAAACTCCAGAAGCATTTCTTCGTGGCTTTTCAGCACAAGAACTGCAGCAGCAAAATTGCAAAGCTCCATCAAATAAATAGGTAAATAAATGAATAAATAAATAAATAAATAAATATATGGTTAATTAATTAATTTATTTATTATTTAATTTATCCTTAGAAGTGTTTAAAGTTCAAACAGCGGATTCGGCGAAATCGGAAAAACTTGAAAGTGAAATAAATTTTGGATTTGAATAATTCAAAAAGCCCCAAAACACATGCAGATGAATTTTAACTTTTTTTTTTAAAAGTTTGCAAAACGACGAAAAGATGAAAAAAAGAAAAGTTGAAATGAAAGAAGACGGACCCAGTCCTTTATCGAAGTTTTCGAAGAAACTTTTTTCTTTTTCTTTTTTTTCTTTTTTGAAAAAATCTTCTGCTTTTAAAATTCCGCGAATGTCGGCGACGGGGAATTCCGGAAAAGGACTTTCTGCAGAAGTGACTGCGATGTTCTGAATTCAAAACAAAATCAAAAAACATTTTGTTCTTTTTGAAAAAGAGAAGGCAAATGCACTTTAATTCAGTTTAATTCAATTTAATTCAACTTTGTGCAAAAAGAATTTAAACGAAAAAATAAAAAAAACGAAAAAAAACGAAAAAGAAACAAGACAAGTAAATGCTTTTTCGAAATTTTCAACTTCTTTTTTTCACTTGATGCATTTCTCTAATTAATTTGTCGTTAAATAAATTAAAATAAATTAGTCATTTAATTTAATTGAAGAGGAGCTGAAAAAGGTGACGATGGGGTCCACCCAGGTGACTCCGAAGCACTAAACCCTAAACCCTATTTTAGGGTTTAGGGTTTAGGGTTTAGGGCCGGTGCATCCAACTGACCCAAGTAGTCATCCTAATTGAATAACTGAACGTATAATTTAATTTGTTGAATTATTTCCATTCTTCATCGCAAATAATCAGACAATAAATCAAATAAAATAAGCAAAGAATTTTTAATTAATTAATTTAAATAAATAAATAATAAAATAAATGAATTAATAAATAACTTCGCAAATTCATTTTAATGACTCACCAGCAGGTGCCGGTCCATTGAAAAGACAGCAGTTGAAGTTTTTTCTGAAAAGAAAAAAAGAAAATAAATATAAACACAAATAAATAGATAAAAACAAATAAAAATAAACAAAATGAACTAATAAATTAAATTAATTAGTGAAGAAAAAATAAAAAGAAAACAACAACTGATTTGCGTCCTATACCCTAAACCCTACTTTCCACTCTGCTCAAGACCCCCGGGCACGCCCCCAAACCCTAAACCCTAAATTAGGGTTTAGGATTTCGGGTTTAGGGCCACTGACCTTTGTAAATGTCCACGAGGGTCACCTCAAACCCTGCAACAGCTTCTTTTGCAAATTCTTTCACAAGTGCCTGCAGCCTTTTCTTCTCCTTGGCCTAAACAAAAAATAAAATAAATATTGTATTTTATTTTATTTTATTTTATTTATTTTGTTTCATTTTATTTTATTTTTAAATTGCTTTTTTAATTCATTAAAAAACGCTTTTCGAATCAAACAGTCCAGACGCAACAGCTCAAACGGCCAAAATAACTAGGAGACGACGACAGCTGGCTAGCTGGCTAGCTAGCTGGCTGGCTAGCTGGTCAGCTAGCTAGCTAGCTAGCTAGCTGGCTAGCTAGCTGGCTGGCCAGACGTATAGCTAGTTGAGTGGCTACCTGGCTGGCTAGCTGAACATGCGGCTACTTGGGTGACTAGCTAGGCCACTCGCTAGCTAGCTAGCTAGCTAGCCAGCTAGCTAGCTGCCTATTAACCTGGCTAGCTAGCTAGCTAATTACCGAGACTGTCCAGCTCCCAGCTAGCTGCGCAGCTAGCTGCCCCCACTTGCTGCCTATCGAGCTATCCATCCAGCTCCGTGGGCAGCTAGCTAGCTAGCTAGCTAGCTGGTTGGGCAGCTAGCTAGCTAGCTGCCCACCCAGCCACCTAACCGCCCAGAGACTATCAAAGCTAGCCACCTACAAGCTAGCTAGCTACGGCCAACTGGCTGGCTAGCCAGCTACACATCTAGCTGCCTATTTAACTAGCTACCTAGCTAGGTAGCTAGCTAGTTAAATGGCTAGCTAGCTAGCTAGCCAGCTAGCTGTTTCACCTTTTCTGCTTCAGACATGTCGCTGAGTCTCCTAATCCCTGAGGGTCTTCGCATCTCTTGGCTTTTTGCTTCGCCATTTTCTTGCTGCTGTGCTGCAGCATTTTGCTGCTGCTGCTGCTGCTGCTTGTGTCTAGCTGAAGGCAAACGCTGCGGGAGAGGCTCTGCTGCTGTTGCAGCAGCAGCAGCAGGGGCGGGCGGGCTGCTGCTGCGCTGTTGCGTGAGCTTGCTGCTGGACGCGATGCTGCTGCTGCTGGGGGCCCTCTTGGAATGTTTTGCTGCTGCTGTTGCTGCTGCTTCGGCCGGTTCTGCTGCTGCTGCAGGTGCGGATTCGGTGGAGTTCCTTTTGCTGCTGTTGCTGCTGTTGCTGCCGAAGCTGCGCGACAGCGAGCTGCTGTGCCTGCGGGGCACGCCCTGCTGCTGCTGCTGCTGCTGCTGCTGCTTGTGGTGCCGCAGCAGCTCCTGCTGCTCGCGAGAGCGCCGCAGCGACTCCTCGAGTCTGTACACCTCAGAGCTCACGCGGCTTTTGAGTTTTCTATTTTGCGATTTATTTCTTTTTGCTGCTGCAGCAAAAAGCAAAAACATTGAAGCAGAAGCAGCAGTTTGTTGCTGCTGCTGCAGCAAAAGGCAAAAACATTGAAGCAGAAGCAGCAGTTTGCTGCTTCTGCTGCAGCAAGAAGCAGAAGACATTGAAGCAGAAGCAGCAGTTTGATGCAGCTGCTGCAGCAAAAGGCAAAAGACATTGAAGTTGTGAGCAGAAGCAGCAGTTTGCTGCAGCTGCTGCAGCAAAAGGCAAAAGACAAGCAGCAGTTTGCTGCAGCTGCTGCAGCAAGGAGCAGAAGACATTGAAGCAGAAGCAGCAGTTTGCTGCAGCTGCTGCAGCAAACGGACTTGCAGCAGAAACGCAGTTCAAGTTGCAGCAGCACTTTTCTTTTTTCTCCTTCTTTTCTTTCTTCTTTGCATGCAACTTCTTGATAAATTTTAAGACCCTAATTAATTAAAGTTTAGTTATTTTCAAATTCCACTTTTCAAAACGCAAAATGAGTCCAATACACTTCAGGAGGTTTCCGCGCGCGCGAGCTTCGGGTGTATGTACAGCCCAACTCGCGTCGACAGAAACACGAAAGGGGAAATTCAAAATTAAAAAATAAAATATATTTATTTTCTCAATTGAAATAATAAATATCAAAAAAATACTTAATTATTATTAAATAAATGCAAAAATAGGATAAATAAAACACATTAATTCGATGCATCGAGCAAAATCTAGGGTTTAGGGTTTAGGGTTTAGGGTTTAGCTTAGCACCTCTTGCCAAGCTAGGCGCATCTGCGCTGTCGCTTTCGAAATCCAGTAAGTCGTCATCTGCAGCAGCAGCAGCAGCAGCAGCAAAAAGATAAAAGCAATTTTAAATAGTTTTTAGAGGAAAACAAAAGAGAAAACTAAAAAAGGAATCGGTAAGTAAACATTCCAAAAAGCTCCGAAATTAAGAATTCGGATTTAAAAAGAAAAGAGAAGCAGCACACAAAATGGTCCCCTCGTCTTTCTGCTAGGCTGCTAAACCCTAAACCCTAAACCCTAAACCATAAACCGAAAACCCTAAACCCTAAAGCGTTAGAAGCCAACAGGTCGCGCCAGGGCTGCAGCAAAACAAATTGGTGTCTGCTTAGCCCCCATACTAGCTGTCAACCTCCGCAAACCCTAAACCCTAAACCCTAAACCCTAAACCCTAAACCCTAAACCCTAGGCCCACCTGATAATCCTATGTGCGCAGCTATGCGGTCGTAAGGGGCCACCCCCAAGTCAGCCTCATCGGTGCAGCAGAAAGAGCACAAGTCCATTTTGCTGCGGGTTGTGCTGCAGGTGCAGAGGCTTAACTGCTGAAATCAAAGGATTTGCTGCTGCTGCTGCTGCTGCTGTTGCTGCTGCTGGTGCTGCTCCGGTTGAGGCTGCTGCTGCTGCTGCTGTGGAGTCACAGAAGGCCTTGACGTCGTCCCGAAGTACATTACTGCCCCTTAGTGCCGCAAAGGCGGATCACTTCATTGTCTGCGCTGCTGCAGCAGCAGCAGCAGCAGCAGCGGCTGCGGGACCAGCAGGAGGCGCTAGGCGGCGCTTGTTGCTGCAGTCCTTCAGCAACAGCTGGTGAAACAAAGAAGAAAAACTTGAAAAATAAAGTAAATAAGTTAAAAGCAAAGAACGAAGGAAGTAATCGAGCTTACAGAAACCGACATGAGACGGTCGCCGCGATGCAGCCGGAAGGCTCCCCGCAGAAAGCTAGGGAAAGCGGCTGCTAAACCTGCACATTTCAAGCTCTCTGGGAAATCCAAAGAAAAGGTACTTGTATTTATTCTGTTGCATGCAAAAAGAGCAACAATTACCCGGTGAACTGCTGCTGATCGGCCCCAGGTGCTCTCGCGGGCCGCCGCAGTTCTCGCTGTCACGGAAGCCACCCGCCACGACCAGTGGACTTTTGCGTCTTTTCCCCCCAACTTTTCCTGAAAAAGACTCAAAATAATACTAATAATGCACTCTCCGCGTTTCGAGAGTCAGATCCTTTGGTTTAGTAGCAGCAGAAGAAACGTGAACGGCCACCTGCAGCACTGTCGAGTGTCGATACACCCGGCGCCGCCGCCGCAGCGGCGAAACTTGTACTTTCAGTTTCCTGCAGAATTACAAGAATTATTTTGAAAAGTAAATTCTATTTTCGCAATTTAAGTGTTTTATTTTACCTAAATGGCCTCTTTCTTCCTCGCTACCCGCGCTCGAGCGGACTGCCGGCCGCCGCCGAACCAACGTGAAATAATTCAAGTTCTCATCTTCTGCCTTTTCGCTTTTTCGTGCAGATTGTTTGCAGAAAAATCAGCAGCAGCATCGCCGCAAGTTTTAATTTTAATTTTCAACGCGAATGGCGAATAATGGAGTGTAAGAATGGACTCACTTATTTGCCTCCCGTTTCGCGAGTTCGCAGGTCCGAAGGGCCTTTTTGGCACTTTTGAGGTTCGAATTTTCCACTGCTTACTCCATTTTCTCTCATTTCTAAACCCAAGTGCATGCAGCAGCTGCTGCAGAGAGTTGGAACTGGAAAAAGCTGCAAAAGTTTTGCTTTCAGAAGAAGTGGCAAACAGTTTGAGGCGAAGTCAACAAACCAAGTTGCTGCATGCAGCCCCAAGCCGCCATTCTAGCCAACAGCGGCTTTCGTGCTGCTTTTATTGCATGCACCAAGAGGGGCTTTTAATGCATTTGTGGCATTTCAGATTTATTAATAATATATTTTGCAAATATGCTTTTTTTCCAAGTTTGCATTATTTTATTTTTTTTTGTTTTCTTTTGTTTTATTTGCATGCGTTTTGGATATTTGCTTTTACGCCTGTTAAAAAGCAGCTGCTGCTGCAGCGGTTCGTTTGCTGCTGCCGAGCTTTTGTCCTTAGTCCAGAGCTGCTGCTGCTGCTGCTGCTGCTGCAGCGTCCCCTGTTGATTCGGAGCTGCTGCTGCTGCTGCTCTTGCTGCTGCTGTTGCTGCTGCTGCAGCAGCAATCTTCTGTCTCGTTTGCTGCTGTTCATGTAATCAACTCTGTTGTCTTCGGGCTTCCCAAAAAGAAACCACCAAAAGAGTCTTGCTGCTGCTGCTGATGCTGGTGCTGCTGCTGCCAGTGTTGCCGCTGCTGTCCTCCGCGTGGCATCTGTTGCTGTTGCTGCTGCTGCTGCTGCAGGCGTTACTGCTGCTGCTGCTGCTGCTGCTGCTGCCAACGAGCGAAACGTTACAGCAACAAGTAAACAAAAAGATTAATAAATAAATGAACAAATAAATTAATTATTATCATCATTGTTGTCTTGCGAGTCTGCTGCTTGCTGCACCTGCTGCGAAAAGTCCACGAGGGCCCCCCAGGGGGCCCCCCCCTCGAAGCAGGGCCCCAGGAGGGCCTCGAGGGGGCCCCCCTTCTCCAAAGTGTATTCCAAACCCTTTGTGGTAATTGCTGCCAACGCAAAACAAACAGTTCTGCTCAGCGGCGCAGCAGCTGCTGCGGGAAACCCGTACACCGTGCTGCAGCAGCAGCAGCAGCAGCAGCAGCAGCAGCAGCAGCAGCAGCAGCAGCAAAGGGGAGCGACGCACCGTTTTGTCTGCTTTATTTAAGTATTAATTGAATCAATTAATTAATTAAACTATTTATTTATTATTTATTTATTTATTTATTTATTTATTTATTTATTTATTTATTTATTTATTTATTTATTTATTTATTTATTTACTTGTTTGTTTGTTTTCCAAAATCACCAAAATGTACTTCAAGACAATTTCACTCGAATGCAGAAGGCAAATAAAGCCCCAATAATAAGAAAACAAAAAGCAGAAAATAAAGAGGAAATAAGAAAAATAAAATGCTAAAAAGAAAAAAACAAAAAGAGAAAATAAAGGAAAATAAGGGACAAAATAAATCAAATACAGGAAAATTAAAAAACACAAATAAGGCAAATGAAGATTATTAATGAAGGACAAAAATGAAAAGCAAAAGGCAATGCAAAGAGGCAAAAGAAGACACAAAACTGCAAATAAAATGAAAGTAAAATGGCAATAAAAAAGTGAATTTTAAATGCATTTAAAGTGCATTTTAAATGCATTTCAAATGCATCTAAAATGCATTTTAAATGCGTTTAAATTACATCTTAAATGCATTTAAATTACATCTTAAGTGCACAATAAAAAAAACGGAATGGCAATTAAATGGCAATAAAATGGCAATAAAATGGCAATAAAATGGCAACAAAGTGGAAATTAAATGGCAATAAAATGGCAATAAAATGGCAATTAAATGGCAATTAAATGGCAATTAAATGGCAATTAAACAGCAATTAAACAGCAATTAAATGGCAATAAAATGGCACAAAGTGGGCAGATAAAAGTCCGCAAAATGTCCAAAAATAGTCCAGAAAAGGTCCACAAAAGTGCCACAAAAACTTTCTAAAAAGTTCACAAAAATGTCCCTAAAATGCACAAAAGAGCTTTCAAAATGCCACAAAACGCCCCCCAAAAGTGCAGAAAAGGTGTAATAAAGTGCCAATAAGATGCCAATAAAATGCCAATAAAATGCCACTAAGATGCCACTAAGATGCCACTAAAGTACCACAAAAATGCCACAAAAATGCCACAAAACTGCCACAAAAATGCCGCTAAAGTGCCACAAAAATGCATTTACAAAAATCACCAAAATGCCACAAAAGCACCGCAAAAGGTCCCGGTAAACTGCATCGAAAGCGCGGCAAAAGTTGAGAAAAAACCCCAAAAAACTGCCAACAAAACAGCAAGAAAAGCCGCTTCAAACTCCCTTCAAAAGGCCTTCAAAAGGCCTTCAAAAGGCCTTTAAAATGCTTCCGAAATGTCTCCAAAACTCTCCAAAAAGCGCCAAAAAAGTGCCAAAAAATGCGCAAAAATGCCACTCAAAACGCCTCTTCTCACTCGAGAAATTGCGCCACTGGAGAGACACTGAAGGGCCGGGCGACGGCCTCGAGCGCAAAAGCCGTCAGCTCTTTGGCCTGAAAAAAATAAATTAAATAATTAAATAAATTAATTTAATTAATTTAATCAATTAATTTAATCAATTTAATTGATTTAATTTGATTAATTCAATTGAATTTGATTAATCTAGTTGGATTTAATTAATTAAATTCGTTTAATGCAATTAAATTGAATTGAATTGATTACAAATTGAAGAAGTTGAGTTCATTTCAAATCATTTCGAATATTTTTAAATTCATTTTAAATCATTTTGAATTTATTTCAAACCATTTTAAATTCATTTCCACTTCATTTCAACTCATTTTAATTCATTTTAATTCATTTTAATTCATTTTACTTCATTTTAATTCATTTTGATTCATTTTAATTCATTGTAATTCATTTCAATTCATTTTAGACCATTGTTTATTCATTTTGATTCACCTTAGATCATTGTTTATTCATTTTGATTCACTTTAGATAATTTCAAATGCATTTAGGATCATTTTAGATCATTTTAGTCCACTTCAGATGATTTTGAATTCATTTTGATTCATTTTAGATCATTAAGAGCTCATTTAAATCCACTTCAATTCATTTAAGGCAATTTTAAATGATTTAAAATGATTTAAAATGATTTAAAATCGTTTTAAATCATTTTAAACCGTTTAAACCATTTAAACCATTGTAAACAATTTTCGACCGTTTACAGTTCATTTTAAACGCACTTTAAACCACTTTAAATCATTTATAGTTCATTTTGAACGCAATTTAATCCATTTTCGGCCATTCAAACCATTTTAAAGCATTTAAATGATTTTAAATCCTTCATAGTTCATTTTAAATAATTAATAGTTCATTTTAAATCCTTTCAAATGGTTTAAATCCGTTAAATCCACTCGACTGGGGAGCCTGTGGTGCAAACCATTTCAAACCATTCAAACGCATTTTAAATTGTTTTAAATCATTTTAAATGCAGTTTAAATCATTTACAGTTCATTTTAAAGCCTCTAAACCATTCCAAACCATTTAAATGCACTTAAACCCTTTTGATGCAACCTAAACCCTTTTAAATGGTTTAAATCCTTCAATAAGGACCTTGGGGTCGTGGGGAAAAAGAGCCTCGTTGCGGAGTTTGTAGTTCGCGAAGAAGTTGACGAAGGCCGCGAGCGCAAAGGCCAACTTGTGGAGACCTTTTTGCTGCTGCAGCAGCAGCAGCAAAGTCTCGCGAGTGGTGCTGAAGAATTTGCTGCTGCCGTCAGCAGCAACGCGCTCCAGCTTGTCCTTTATGAACGCGTTTCCAAACCGCTCCACGATCTTCGCTTTGTACCTGCTCCAAAACACTTTTTAGGGTTTGGGGTTTTGCGGGGTTCGAGGGTTTGAGGGGGGTTTAGAGGGGTTCGAGGGTTTGGGGTTTAGACGGGTTCGAGGGTTTGAGGGGGGTTTAGAGGGCTTCGAGGGTTTGAGGCGGGTTTTGAGGGGTTCGAGGGTTTGAGGGGGGTTTAGAGGGGTTCGAGGGTTTGGGGTTTAGACGGGTTCGAGGGTTTGGGGTTTAGAGGGTTTAGAAGGGTTTAGAAGGCTTTAGAAAGGTTTGGAAATGCTTAGAAGGGTTTTAAGAAGGTTTTAAAAGAGCTTTGGAAGGGTTTTAGAAGGGTTTCAAGAGAGTTTTAAGAGGGTTTTAAAAGGGCCCTAAGAGGGTTTTAAGAGGGTTTTAAAAGGGTTTTAAAAGGGCTTTAAGAGGGTTTTAAAAGGGTTTTAAGAGGGTTTTAAAAGGGTTTGGAGGGTTTGGGAGAGGGGAGGGTTTGAAAGGGATTTAAAATGAGATTAAAAATGGAGCAAAATGGAATAAAATGGATTTTAAAAAATAAAAATGAAAAAGAAACAAAGAAGAAATAGAAAGGAGATGAAAAAGAAATAAAGGAGAAGTAAAAAAGAAAAAAGAATCAAAAAGGAATAAAAAAGAAATAAAAAAGGGAAATAAAAACGAAATAATAAAACAAAATAATAAAAATAAAATAACAGAAAAGAATCAAAAACAAATAAAAAGAATTACAGGGAAATAAAACGAAATAAAAGAAATAAAGGAAATAAAAAGAAATAGACGAAATAAAAAGAAATAAAAGAAATAAAAGAAATAAAAGAAATAAAAAGAAATAAAAGAAATAGACGAAATAAAAGAAATAAAAGAAATAAAAGAAATAAAAAGAAATAAAAGGAATAAAAGAAATAAAAAGAAATAAAAGGAATAAAAGAAATAAAAAGAAATAAAAAGAAATAAAAGAAATAAAGGAAACAAAAAGAAATAAAAAGAAATAAAAAGAAATAAAGGAAATAAGAGAAATAAAAGGAAATAAAAGCAATAAAAAGAAATAAAAGAAATAAAAGAAATAAAAACAAATAAAAGGAAAAAAAAGGAATAAAAAGAAATAAAAGAAATAAAAGGAAAAAGAAATAAAGGGAATTAAAAAGAAATAAAAAAGAAATAAAAAAGAAATAGAAGGAATAAGAAGACATAAGAAGAAATAAGAAATAAGAAGAAATAAAAGAAATAAAAGAAATAAAAGAAATAAAAGAAACAAAAGAAATAAAAGAAATTGAAAAAATTAAAAAATAAAAAAAATAAAAAGACAAAAGCAGCTAAACTGCTTCAAGTAAAACCAAACCAAGTCACCCAACCAATCCAACCAAACCAACCAAACAAATCAAATCAATTAAACCAATTAAATTGAATTAAATTAAATTAATTTAATTAAATTAAATTAATGAAATGAAATGAAATTAAATTAAATTAAATTAATTAAATAAATAAAAAATAAATAATTAATTAATTACCTCTCGACATCTACGGGGACGTGAAGAAGGCAAGGAGTCACTTCGTCCAAAACGCTCCGCAAAAAGCCGCTTATTCTAAACGCAACATTATTTATTTATTTTATTACAATTTATTTATTTATTTTATTATTCATTTATTTATTATTTATTTATTTATTTTATTATTTATTTATTATTTATTTAGTTATTTGTTTGTTCATTTGTTTATTTATCTATCTATTTTCTCTGTCTTATTTTATTTTGTTTTGTATAATTTGTTTTATTTATTCTACTTTATTTTATTTTGCTTTATTTAGTTCTGTTGTATTTTGTTTTGTTTTATTTTATCTGCGTTTTATTTTGTTTCATTCTTTTATTTGGTTTCTTTGATTTGTTTGTTTTGTTTTATTTGTTTTATTTGTTTTATTTGTTTTATTTGTTTTGCTTGTTTTGTTTGCTTTTTCAGCTAGCTAGCTAGCTAGCTAGCTAGCTTGCGAGATAGATATATAGGTAACTAGCTACTGAGCTAGCTAGCTAGCTAAATAGTTGGATGGATGGACAGCTCTCTAGCTAGCCAGCTAGCTGGCTAGAGGGCTAGCTGTGCAGCGGTCCAG